TACTATTTTATATTTTCTAAAAACGTCACTAGAAGTGTATATTATATGTGTGTACTTTACACTCCTGTCTATCTCTTCTGAGAATAGATAGCGTGATAAAATGTAATACATACCACGTTTAATTAGAACAGTACAGTTGAAAGTCGATAGGAGCCTCGTGACTAAGTGGTGAGTCATCGCTTGGTCGGTCGAACTTAATTCTAATAATGTAAGTACTACAGCAGCTTTTCGCCCGCCGTTTTGCCCGCATACAATTCAGAAGATTTCTATGGAATAAATCTCAATCCCTTACAAATGTTGGGTTACAAAAGCGCATATATTATTCTAGAACTATGTAACTTACAATAGATAAACAGAATTCCATAAACGGTTCAGTAGTTTTTGAGTAGGCAACTAGGTACATCCAACACAAACAAACGACCGTTCGTTCCCTGTAATCATTATGGGCAATATACTTAATTAAAACTTTATTTATTTCTTAGATAAAAAGTTTAGTAGGTATATAACATTGCCGCGACATTGGGACTCCATTGACGTCATCGTACGTGATGAGCATACATAAATATATACTTGCATATTAATAAAATGATCTCCTAAGCGATTTCGTTTATGGCGGTAGATCCCATCTCAATTAAGACCTCAGTCTACGAGTGAGTAGTCCGAGTCTCTATACTTCTTGCAACTTGAACAGGCCAGATTGACCAAAGACAACAATATAATTCTATGACACAGAATACTAGCATGAACTAGTGACGTAATCTTGCTATCTTTTGTCTCTTACGAGCATTGGATCCCTTATCCAATGCTCATGGCATGGGCACGCGCAGTTTAATATAATTTATATCTTGTTTTTTTTAAACTGTCAAACACAGCGAGGACACCGGTGACCGCAACCTATTGTTTTTTAAACTGTCAAACACCGAGCGGTCACCGGTGACCGCAACCTATTGTTCTATAATTGTGTCTATAATGACGATACTCGACGAGTTAATTGTGTCTATAATGACGGTACTCAACGAGTTAATATTAAAAATTTTGTTATTATTTTATTGTAGGTACATACATATTTTGTTATACAACGTTGTTTGTTCTTTTCTTTACTCTTTTAAATTATCTAAAAATCACGGGTTACTCACGTGAATATACTGAGAAAAGCTCTACTAGTTTCGAACCACAGAGGGGTTCTTGCTCATGAGCAGCGTGCGCGGCGATGTCGCGCAGCCTTCTCTATTATTGTGAAAAAACAAGTGAAGTTCTCTTTGTCTTTGTATTTGTGTTCCTACTTATTAAATAAATGCTTTTTCTTTCTTTCTTTCTTATTCATTTTGGGTGCCATCATTTTTGAGTGAAGGCGAATACTCCCTAAAAATGATAATGTACTTACATTTTAATACTTTACACTTACTAGTAATATAATACCGCAATGTATGTACATTTTGCAATAAATAAATAAATAAATAAACTGAAAATCAAAATAATAAATTTAGTATGTCTCACGAAAGTTACAATATACTAAACGCCGCGCGCCGGTTTCACTACGTCCATAAAAGTACCTGATAAACTTATGTGACAGATAGTTCATACTTTCGTACTTAATTCAAATTTATCTGGTAGATAACGGCTACCCAGATATTGTGAAACAGGCCCTTAAACTGTCAAACACCAAGCGGTCACCGGTGACCGCAACCTATTGTTCTATAATTGTGTCTACAAAACCGGTACTCGACAAGTTAAACTTGTTGAAATCTCCTATACATACATACATACATAACTTCACGCCTGTCTCCCATGGGGGATGGGGGTCTATAATTATGTTAATTTAAGTATTCTTTTATAAAAAAGGTGTAGTCTCACGTACCTATAATAATTGTTTGTCTAATCGAGGATCGAATAAAGTAAAAAATAACACTATTATTATAATTAATGTAAACGTTTCTTTGTTTGGGTATTTGTCCCTCAATTACGCTGAAACTACTGAACGGATGTTGATAAGGTATACACGCAGGGTATATTTTGTATCCCATTTAAATCCTCCCATGAGATAAACCAGGAACACGCGGGCAAAGCCTGATCGACTACACAGATGGTGCGGTGGCTGGACAACCAGCTGCCGTGCAAAATATCGCGGGTTCGATTCCCACACGGAGCAACTCTTTGTACGATCCACAAATTGTTGCTCCGGGGCTGGGTTTACGTGTACGTGAACTTGTTTGTAAACGCACCCACGACACAGGCGAAAATAGTGTAGGACAACGTATTTAAAAAAAAGACAAAGAAGCCGCGGGTATAAACTAGTTACATCATAATATCATATACTATACTAATATTATAAAGCTGAAGAGTTTGCTGTTGTTGTTTGTTTGAACGCGCTAATCTCCAAAACTACTGGTCCGATTTGAAAAATTCTTTCAGTGTTGGATAGCCCATTTATCAAGGAAGGCTATAGGCTATATATAAAATATCACGCTACGATTAATAGGCGCCGAGCAGAACGAGTGAATCCGCGCGGAAGTAGCTAGTAATTAAATTGTCAAACACCAAGCGGTCACCGGTGACCGCAACCTATTGTTCTATAATTGTGTCTATAATGACGGTACTCGACGAGTTCATAATATTATATATTCTTAAGTACCTAAATGTAGTAAGTACCTACATATTATGTAATGTAGGTACCTACATAGTTAGTTAAACAATATTTATCTCGAAACAGCTAATTATATAACTTATCACTAAAACTTAATGTCTCTATAATTAATTATTTTTAATTACTCTGCAAGCCGAAATAGGTTGACAACATCATCAGTCTCAGAAAAGAGGTAAATCACAATAGCAATCTGTCAAAATGGTGGTAATTGATGGAGGAGACCTTCACCCAGTATTGAGTGAAAATAGATTGAAGAAAAAGTTGCAATTTCAACTATAAAACGTTTTTCAATAGAACTGCAAACGAGTAGGCCTATCACCAACCAACGCCGCCCATGAGTAACTGCAACAACAGAAAGAATTTGCTGGACATATGGGAGAGAATAGATGACAAATTTTTATTTCAATGTCCGTCTGGTAGATTATTTGAAATCATTAGACACATATATTTTATTTTCTTACAGAAACGAATACTTTCGACGATATATTGATTTGAAATGTCGCGTGACGTCACTTCTACGTACATTTTATACGTAGAAATGACGTTTTAGCCCCCACTTCTAAACTTTGATTCGTTTTATCTAAGTATTGTTTTATTATACGACAAAATAAAAAAATACGTGTCTAATATTTTTT